GTGTTACGTTACACGTGCTGCGGGTGCAGTACATGTGTGCGTGTTGTGTGAACGTACACGTGGCGTTCGTGCGTGCGTGCGTGTGAACGTACACGTGCGTGCCTGGCGTGCGGTGCGTGCGTGCGTGCGTGCGTAGTGCACATTTACCTGCGTGCATGGCGTAACGTGGCCTGCGTGCGGTGCACGTTACCTGCGTGCATGCGTGCGAGTGGCAGGGTACATCGTTCGTTTGTGTGCGTGTGGCAGGTACACGGTGTGTGCGTACGTACGTGCGTGGCCGTTGCAGTGTGCATGTACACGTGCCGTGCAATGGCGGTGCGTGCAGTGTGCACGTACACCGTGCGTGCAAGCGTGCGTGCGGTGTGCACGTACACGTGCGTGCATAAATGCGTGGCGTGCGTGTGCAGGTACACGTTCGTGGCATAAGTGCGTGCGTGCGTGTGCAGGTACTACGTTCGTGCATAAATGCGTGCGTGCGTGTTGCAGGTACACTTCGTGGCATAAGTGTGTGCTGTGCGTGGCGGCAGGTAACAACGTTCGTGCATAAGTGTGTGCGTAGCGTGTGCAGGTAGCACGTCTCGTGCATCAAGTGTGTGCGTGGCGTGTGGCAAGGTAGCACGTTCGTGCATAAGTGCTGTGCGTGCGTGTGCAGGTAGCAGCGTTCGTGCATAAGTGTGTGCGTGGCGTGGTGCACGTACACGTGCGTGGGCATAAAGTGCGTGCGTGCGTAGTGCAAGGTACACGTTCTGCATAACTGCATTGCGTGCGTGTGCAGGTACACGTTTCGTGCATAAGTGCGTGCGTGCGCGTGTGCGGTGCGGTGCAGGTACACCGTTCGTGCATAATTGCGTGCGTCGCGTGTGTGTCAACGCGGGTCGAAATTAGCGGTATCCCGATAATCCGCGGGATACAATTCTTGTGGCGGGGATATCCGAAGATTCAATGCTTGGGTATCCGCGCCGGGATACGTACAAAAAAAATCGTCCATAATCGGGATAGTGGTTGTTGAGTTATCAACTTTATACGTCCAGCGCATCTGAGCGAGTGCGAGAGCGCGAAGTGCGCACCCTTAGTTACTAATTTTACTAATTCACACTACGTTTTATAACAGCAGCAATAGCAATATTTGGCAAGCGCAAGGCGTGGCGATTGTTGATCATAAAATTGTGAACAGTGTGTATACATTGTATCAAAATGATTGTACAAGCGAACCAGACAATGCGTCAGACAATAGTCGCAGTGTTAACTGTGGAGCGTATGATATAGATGCAATAGATATATAATATACACAACAACCTGTGTTGTATATAATATCTATGGTAAAAATGAATATACTCGCGAATGCACTCAGCCGCACTAATGATTAGACGCGGGAGCGAAGATTTTAATATAAATAATTACATTACAATATTAATAATTTTCAAATGCTATTATTGCATATTATCAAGATGTTTGATACCAACAATGTGGAAATTACTATCCAAAATAAAATCCGGGATACAAGATCTTTTGGGGGATACCGAGATTTCAATAGCCTGGTTAAATCCCGAATGGATACCATATGATAAAAGTCTTTTAATTTATTTTTTTTTTTTTTTTTTTTTTGGTTAGTTTGTTTTTTTTTTATCTAATTTCGACCCCGTGGTGCACGTAACACGTTCGTGCATAACGTGTGTGCGTGCGTGTGCAGGTACACGTCAGGGGAAAAAATACACGGGGCGGCGGGCGATTCGCCCCGAATGCCAAATAGAGCCCCCGAAAATAGCGATATCGGGGGCGACCCCAAAGCAAAAGTCGCCGGAAATCGATTGTCCAGGTCGTCCCGCGCACTTTGCCGATTCTTCGGCTCGGCTCTCTGCCGACTAGCGGCATGCCCGGTTCCACGGCGCGTACAATTCCTGGTAACGGTGTGGCTGTCAAAGTGGTTTATAAATTAAGCTATGCATGTTGTATTGCATTCAATTCAAGCGCGGCCCGCCGGCCGCCCGCGCGTAATATACGGTGTGCCTGTCACATGCTTGCGTGTGTGCGCTAGCGCGCGTCGTGCGTGCGCGGTGTGCCTCAGGCGTGCTTGCGATGTGGTGCCTGCGCGCTCGTGCGTGCTGGCCAGTGCCTGCGTGCGCGTGCGTGCCCTTGCGCGCGTGCGTGCCTGCATGCGCCGTGCGTGTGTGCGGTGTGTGCCGGGCCGGGCGTGCTAACGTAGACCGTAGGATTATATAACGTAACCATGGAAAATCCTCAAATGAAAATTCACACGTATATTTTTCCCTGGCGGCAACACTCGTGTTAATTCCGATGTTTAGCTTTTTTTGTCAATTCCCCGAAAGAGTTTCTGACGCTCTCTCAAGTCCAGCAATCCAACCTCTAAATTTTGAACCGTAGTGATTAGCTACCACGCTGAAAACAATCGTGCCCTCCCCCCCATACTTCATCAATGCCGCCCGGCGCCAGCAGCACAGTACGCAAGCGTCGATGTGCACAGCCATTCACGACGTCCTCGCGGCTGCTTTCTCAACCCACCTGAAGCTGCCAGGGCCCTTACGCGGGCTTGGACCCCAGCCGCCAAGATCTTCGCCGCTAAAAACAATCGATCCGTCCTAAAGCTGTACAGGCGGACATTCCACTATTTGGGCTAGCCGTAATAGTTCTGTGTTTACTGAAGCCTGTGATGTATTCACTATTCAAGTGCTAGTTTGTGGTTGTGACATTGTGAGTTGGATTATCAATTTAGTTCTGTCAGTCTGCATGAATAACTGTCTTGAATATTGACTTGTTGGTGTGTGTGTGTGTGTGTGTGTCTGTTGTGTGTGTGTGTGTGTGTGGTGTGTCCGCTGGTGTAGTGTGTGGTGCCGTGCGTTGCGTGCGTCCGTGCTGCGTGCGTAGCGTGCTGTGCGTGTGGACGTGATGGTGTGCGTGTGTGCGCGCTAGTGATCGTCAGATCATCGATTCATAACTCAGATCATCGCTTGAACCAGTGGCTCGAACAAGGCCCTTGTGTTATCAAAATCACTAATCGTTTAATTCGAAAAAATAAAAAAAAAAAAAATTTGTTTTTTGTTTTAAATTTGAACAAGAAAACTTGGAAAAGTCATAAGAATATCAGTACATGTATTACTACACACAGTACGTAAAACAGTGCATAAACAACACGAGTAAAACGGCTAAACAAATCACATACAGGCAACACGTACATGCATCACGACGTTACGTCACACGTCAGGCAGCATTCAAAGAATCCGATAACGCGATTGTAACTGAATCATCGTTACTTGGCGTCAACTCGGCATGATCCGATTACGAAATTACAACCGATTGACAACACTAGTGCGCGGCCCCACGAGTCGTGTATTAGCTACTGTGCTTGTGTGTACATTTGAGGAACAGCCCTGGAAAAAAGTCGCCCTGGAAAGTGGAAAAAAGAGCCCTGGAAAATGAAAAGTGAGACCCCACGAAATTGGGGGGGTTTGGCAAAAAGAGCCCGGAAAGAAAAAAATTATTTTTTCACTTGGTACACGTGCGTGCATAAGTGTGTGGCACACGTCCACGTGAGTGCAGTGCGTTGCGTCTGTGGCGTGCGTGGTGTGCAGGTACACGTGCGTGCATAAGTGTGTCGTGCACGTACACGAGATGCATAGTGCTAGCGGGTGCGTTGTGCAGTACACAGTGCGGTGCGTGTGGGCACGGTACACGCTTGTGTGCGTGCCGTAACGTGCGTGTGTGTGCAGGTACCGGTTGCGTCGTGTGCACGTACACTGCTGTGCGTGCGTGTGTACACACGCGTTCGTGTTACGTACCGTTCGTGTTACGTGACGTTCTGGTAAACGTTCTGTGAGTACATCGTTGCGTGCGTGCGTCATCGCTATTTCAAATGACATGACATACTAAACATGAAACATCGCTATTACGTCAGTATCATTGAAACAGCTCTGGTTGGCTGATGAATTGTACAATCAGGCGATTTCATCGCCGGCCCCGGACACACTAGGCGATTAAATCGGCCGACAAAATCGCCCGATAATATCAAAACGTTTTGATCTATGCGATGAAATCGTCGACGAAATTGGGCGACTAAATCGCGGCGATTGAGTGAAACATCTATGCGATTTCACGGCGATTTGTCGCCTAGTGTGTCCGGTCCTTTAATCAATACCATGAACTTAGCTAGAACCGCATAAACAAAGTTAATAATATGCTGTGAAATAGCACTATTTTCCGTTGCACACACTAGGTATTTATTAGCTGCTTTAATATATATATTATATATATATATATATCAAGAGCATATAAAGGAGAGCGTACAACGGTAAAATGCTGAAACCATGTTGCAGTATTAGTAGTGATGTCACGATCATCGATTATACTCGATCATCGGTTGAACAGTGGCTCGAACCAAGCGCTTGGTTATCAAAATCCATAATCGATTTCATCGAAAAAAAACAAAAATAATATATATTTTTTTAACACTTGAACAAGAAAACTTGGAAAAGTGATGAGATTAGAATCAGAGATATCATCGCTACTATACAAGTTATCCTTTATTAACATACATGTATTATACACACAGTAGTAAACAGTGCAAAACAAAACAGTAAACAGGGCTAAACAAGCACATACATGCACACGCCCGACGTTAGACGCACGCAGAATTCAACACCCCGAGTAACGCGATTGTAACCGATCATCGTTACTGTGCGTCCAACGATGATCGATTACGAAATTACAACCGATTGACAACACTATGTGTAACAAGCTTACATTTAATTGTGTTTCAGCAGTTCCTCCTGATCTGGGGAAACATCGTTAATAAATAAATATATGAAAGTATAACAAGCTCGCATTTTCGTCGTATGCTTCAGCACTCAGTTGCTGTGACTGCCGGAGGTCAGGCATCCTCGTCATTTCAACCATCATTTGGTGTTGGCGGTGCTCCTACGAGCAGTTTCGGCCCATTTGGTGGACTTCCGTACCAGTATCCTGGACCAGGAGCTATAGGACAGCCTTCACATCAAGGGCTCCAGCCTTCCCAAAGACCACCATCAGAAGGTAATAATAGGGCTAGCTCAATGATTATTATTCCTGTATTCAACTCTTTTTAAATCCGAGTGAAAAGCGAAAGTTGTACTCACTTCAACTTTTCTTTTTGCCAAGCTTGCTGGTTAGGATTGTAATATTGTAAATTCATGTTGGCTTAATTTCTTAATTTAATTTCAGAATAAATAGACACATTTGACTGATTTAAACACTTGTTTATATCAAAACTATATAGTATTGGATAGGATTATGATATTCATATTTTGATTATTGGTTGAGTAGATATTAAATCTGTTTTAATTAGAAATAATTAACATGTTGAATCGTTGATACATGTTTATTTAGGCTCAAGATCGCTTACACCACCGATAAATCGTGCATCCCCAACTGTTGACCAGGGCGTGCAGGTTTGTTAGGCCACTGAATATTTAAATAGCTAATACATATTGGTTAAATGTTACAAACTTCAATGAATTATTCTGAAGTACATGATTGATCTGAACAACATATGAAATTATGACATATGACTAACAAATAACAAGAACGTGTTATTAAGTAAATATTGTATCTTACAGGCGACAGAGCCATTGCAGAAACAGGACAGGAAAGCAGTTGGCACTCCAGTGATCCGTGGCCGGCAGTCGCCCAGCACACAGCATGGTGGTCATAAGCAGCATCTGCAACAGCAGCAACAACAACAGCAACAGAACTACAGCGGCGCCCATCAGCGGAGAGATAATCGAGACGGCCGGGACAATCGGGACAATCGGGAGAGAAGTCAGCAGAGTGAGAGGGGGCGTAGGCCTCCTGGACGTGGCGAAAGTACGTTTCACTATGCTTCCACGCAACCTGAGGAATGTTTGTGTAGTTAATTACTTGACATAGTGCATATTGTGCCTAGGTACTAGCAGGAGGATTTATACTATTTATGAATTGAGTGAGGCTTGCTTTCCCAATACCCAGCCCTGGAGACAATGTGGTTGGAAATGTTTTTCCCCAGTTTAGACGGCGTGTTGATCTAGGTTTGCAAAGGTTTGGTCTGTGGAAAAAATTGCAATATTATAAAAACTGAGGAAATGGAATGAGTACTACTCTAGGTCAAGGTTGCACTTTTCATATAAATGTGAACATGTCATTGTGGAAAGCTGAAAATATGTAATGACGCAAAAATAGTTGAGCATGACCTGTTGGGACTAAACATATAGTGCTTTGCTGTGATATTTTTCCCATGTAACTGGTACATGTTATCTTGTGTTGTGCTATAGGTTATTCGCGTGGCAGAGGACGTGGAGGTAGAGGTCTCAGCGGCCGGCCTGGCCAACCAACTAAACCAAAGGACAGGATTAAGTTTGAAGGAGAATTCGATTTTGAAGCTGAAAATGCAAAGTTTCACAAGGAAGAACTGGAGGAGGAATTCCAGAAGCTGAAGCTCAGTACGTAGGATACAGAGCAGTGGGAAAAATACACGGGGGCTCGGGGCGATTTAGCCCCCGAAATGTCAAAAAGAGCCCCGGAAATGCTAAAAAAGAGCCCCCGGAAATTTGCATAGGGTTCAATGCAAACCAAATTTTAGAGTGCTATTTTCATGCACGCGAGCTTGAAAAGTAGCCCCCGAAAAATAAATTATATTTTTTTCCTTGGCATACAAACATACCTGTTTAAGCTTGCTCCTTCGTGTTTATACTGAAGGTTGTCATGGCAGTCACTTGCATCTCTTATAGTTGATAGGATAGCAGTTTGACCAACTGCAGTGTGTGCAACAATCAACTTGAGGACACTAGCCTAAAACAGTTATGCGCTGTAATTGAACAATCATTCATTCTATTGATTGTTTGGTAAACAGATTCACCATTGCCCGTCGCCGTTACTGAGAAGGTGGCATTGAACGGGGACGAGAAAAAGGAGAAGGAGGACTCCGGCAATGAAACGCAGGTGGATACCCATGAGGAGGATGATGCCATGTTTTATGACAAAACGAAGTCGTTCTTTGACACCATTAGCTGTGAGGCTACAGAGAGACTCAAAGGGTGCGAAAACAGTTTAGCTACTACCTAGCCGTTCATTATTTCTAATAATAACTTCTTGGTTTCATTTATAATCTGTACATAGATAATAAGTAGTGTGTTGAATTGATCTATACTACCTCTGACCTAATACTGTCACTGTCTCTGTGATGATAACATAAATCAGTTCTGAGTGCGAAAGTGAATGACACCAATCACTTCAGTCTTCCTGAGAGGCAGTGTCCCCCATTTTAAGTGACTGAAAAGAAAACTACCGTATTTACTCGTGTATAAGTCGCACCCCCATATCTTGCTTAGAAATGTTGCTACAAACATTGGTACATTAACAAAATTTCTTAGCCTCGTGTATAAGGTGCACCCCTGATTTTCAGCTCGCCTTGACATCGTCAAGATGAGCTATTGCCATCGGGTGTCCGTTCGTCCGACCGTCCGTCAACATTTGGCTACGGTCAACGATAACTCAAGAACCGTTTGACCCACATGTTTCAAATTGCATATAGTTGTTACTCCTATGGGAGAGGTTTGAACGTCCTATTTTGGAGCACGCCAGTCGACCTACTTTCGAGCCACGTCCACTTTTTGGCAAAAATGGAAATGGCCATTTAAGTCAGTTCAGGTTTAATGGATTTTGCTCATTTCTGGTATGTGAATGAATGAGGACTGGCCCCAAAACATCACACAGGTTTTGATTTTTTTTTAATCATGCAAATTAGGTAGATTTTGGCAATTTCACTATGCATTTCAGTGTTTGCCTACGGTCACGATAACTCAAGAAACTGTTTGACCCACATGTTTCAAATTGAATACAGTGTTACTCCTATGGAGAGATTTAACTTCCTATTTTGGAGTACGCCAGTCGACCTACCTTCGCGACCACGCCCACCTTTTGGCAAAATGAAAAATGCGCATCTAAATTCATTCGATTTTGTTAAATTTTGGTATGTGAAAGTGTAGGTAGCCTCTAAACAGTTGTTACTCCTATGGGAGAGATGACATACGTCCTATTACGTTTATTTCGTCTAACTGGTCAACAACTCTACCAATCATACCTATATACGCTGTAATATTGTGTTTTAGATCTTCGTTACAGTATTTGACTGGATATTTTATGTTTTAGCTCATCTGACATAGTCAGATGCAGCTTGTAGAATCGCTTGATCGTCCGTCGTCCGTGCCGTCCGTCCGTCCGTCTCGTGCGCAACAGTTGGGCACAAATCTTAACGTCGACGTACCGTCACGATATTCGGGCACATCGGGGGGATCGTCAAAACGAGTTGGGATTCGAAGCTCTGGGGGTCAAAGGTCAAAGGTCAAGAGGTGTAAAAGAAGGGGAACATTCGCACTCCTTAACTTAGGTATAGGAAGGAAATGCATAATTGCGGCAGCAAATCTAAACGGCTCGACCAGGCTCGTGATAGTCGGTGTATGGCATCATGGTAGGAAAGCCATCACTGTGCCGAAATTGGAGGTCCCAGGTCAAAGGTCAGTGGGCCAGGGCCGATTTTAGACATTTTCTGAGGACATGCGTCTGACGGAGCGATTGAAAAACTTTTTGTTTCAGCGGTGACCTAGCATTTTATGGCTTTATTGAAGGGACGCATGGAAATGTCCCTTCTGCTGACATGCGAAGAGTAAGTGTCGATAACCTTTTGACCCTCAAGAGGAGGGTTAAACATGGATTTGTTCACTGTCAACAAAGGACTGAACTGCTTTGCTATTATTAGAGCCCATACTGTGTCAATGTGAGGCTACAAGTTGCACAGTTAATTGCAAAGGCAAATGTTTGTTGAACAAGGTTTACGCTCCTTAAATCATATGATTTCTAAAGCAGTGTGTCTATAGCACCTGCCATTAGGCCTGCAGGCTGATCAGTGAATGCTCACAAGGCAAAACACAGGCAGCCCATGCTGCACGCTTCTTATCATAATTGTTGCGCTGCCAACCTGCAATGCACTGTTCACTCACAGCTGAGAACTGCCTGAATATACTTACTGGATTTTAGCCTGTACCTACTGTACGATTTGAGGGAACGATGCCATCTTTGATTATTGATTACACTTGCACGCGCCATCGTGGGCAACTATAGGCCTAGTTAAATTAGATTTATTCTCATGTAACTTTGTAAACGAATAATAATAACTAGTACCATATTTAATATATAATATTTACTTTTCATCTTGAATCTTAACATATATCATGTAGCTATGGCCGTGCGTATCATTTTACCAGTGTGGCGAACATAAGCTGTTACCATAGAAATATTAGAGACACTATATATTATGATTTCTATGACTGTTACACTCAGGGCATAGGAAGAAAGCATTAATTAAGGGGCAGTAAAAGGCATCATCGCTGGTTTTAATTTTTTTAATATAATTAAGAGAGAGAGAGAAAGTAAGATAAAGGAGAAGGAGAGTATGTAAATTGAGACCGGGTACAGGAGAACGGTGATACGGTGGTGTATGCGAGCGGAAGCGGGCGTACATATTAGGTCGTTGCGCAGATGTTGTGCAAGGGATGGGAGGTGGGAGGCGCGGGAGCGAGGTCGAAGGTAGGGGTGAGGAGACTGGAGGTAAGGGGGGAAGTGAGAGGCAAGAGGAGTGAAGTGACGAGCAGGGGGAGGGAGGTGGGACGCACGTGGGGAGTGGAGGGGGAGAGAAAGGACTCCTGCCCCCTCTAATTAAACTTGAGATCCATGCTCCAATATGTTGAACTCTTTTATAGATAGTAAAAATAGATAGCTGTGAATCTATTGACACAAATTCGAAGTGAAAGGGCAAGTATCATTTAATAAAATAAACCAAAATCGCATGGAGGGGAGATAGTGAGGCGTGTCCTAACAATGAGTGTACGGCAATGCGTATCGCTGCATATCTGCGCCTAACAACTCTACAATCATACCTATATACGTGTAATATTGTGTTTTAGATTCTTCGTTACAGTAATTTGACTGGAATATTTTATTGTTTTTATTTGTGCGATATTCAAAAACCAAAATGGCCATCATTTAGACGTAGCACCATCTCTCGTCAAGATTCCAACATTTATTTTCGCATCAAAACATGCATATATCATTATCAAGAGTATATAATGGGAGTTCTCCCATATATACTCTTGCTTTATATATCCCCCCTTCCTCTTCTATCACACCCAAGGTGAGCTACAGTGTCATTGACACCTTCATTTTATTGAAGTTGTGTACAAAAAAGTGACTTATACACGAGTAAATACGGTAATTTTGAGTCTTTGGTCGACAAGTTACTCGCTCTGTTATCGTCCTGCACCTTGGGCAGAATCTGACCTTACTTGATTGCTTTTTCATTTCTCATTTACAGGAAACACGACAAATCCAGCTGGCGTCAAGAGCGAGCACTCAACAATGAAACATTTGGGGTGGGCAGCACCAACGCGTATAACCGGCGTGGGTACTACCGGGGCCGCGGCGGCTACGGTGGTGGATACAGGCGCGGTGGCTACGGTTACCGCAACGATGGTTACCGCGGCGGCAATCGTGGCAGAGGATATGGAAGAGGTAGGGTTTTGAAATATTCTTTTGTTTCTACAGTAGCTGAGAAATTTCTGTGTATACGCATGCAGTGATCTAATGTTTCGACTAGTAGATTGTAATGTGTTCCTGTTCATTGTCCCAGGTCGGGGTGCTCCACGTAACGATCTTCGACAGGCACAAGCGACTCAGGATTAATAGGACCAGTGTTGCCATAAATGGATCAATATATCATTAAATGGTAAGTGTTATTAATGTAAATTAAATTAATTTGTTAATTAAATGTATTTTGATTTTTTCCAAATAAAGCAGCTGTAGCTAGTTGCCTTCGGTATTCTGCTCTTTTTTTACACGGTAATATTCACACGGTCCTTTGGTTCACATAAGCGAATGTTGGATCTATTGCAGGAAAATCTTTAAAGATTTTGAGACTGCCAGCCTTTGTGCACGAGTGATTCACCACACTTGGCGAACCAGAAGTTAATCGGCAAGCTACAGCTAATGCATCCCTGTGCTGCTAGAATTAATGGGAGCATACCAAATCGGTTCTTCGGTTTGTATTTATTATTAATGTAGCGTGCCTGTCCTGTGGGTAGCTACCCAGGTTTCCTGCACACAGTTTTGTTTAAGTGATTGAAGGCGACACGTTGGTCGTGGCTGTGCCGGCTTGCTCTCTCACCATTGTCGCTCTTTGCTGATCATTTGGTGGCGTTTGTGTTTGTACAGAGAGAATTACTTTTGCCAGTTAAATATTGCATATTTTTGGTGAGATTTGGCATGACTGTAGACAAGAGCATGTCTTCACAATCTTGGACGGCAATCGTCGTCATATGTACAGAAGTGGAGTGGGTTGTATTACAAGAAGCTCCCGGTTATGTTGGTGCGAGGTTGTAATTTGAAGTTAGGATGGTTGCCTGAAGAAGGTTTAGTAAGAGCGGCTATCCTGATTGTGTAAATTATTAAGATTTTTTGGAGGATGACTGAGTACGAGTGTTGCTTCATTGCGAAATTGTGCAAGAAGTTTGCATTACTAACAGCTTTCATTTGAAATATGAAGCCAAAAAGGACGTGAAGACATATGTTCATATGTGCGACTGGAATCCGGAATCTATACGAGTTGTGATTTTCCGAATCCAAGTAGACTTGTGTTGTTTTAGCAACAGCAGCAGCGTGGAATTTGCCACGTAATTGATTGAATAGTCTGTTGTCGAGGTTGGTGTATTAACATGCTGTTGCAGGCTATTGTCAGACCTAGTGAGCCAACCCCTGATTCCTTTGTGTAATGTTAATTATATTGGGTAATGGCAAAGAATATTGTAATTTCCATGCGTGAACGGACATGGCCTTGCTTTTGTTAGCTAGAAATCATGCTTGCGACTGACAATAAAAAGTAAAAAATGTGTTGTTTGGTCTAACGTCTATAGCATAGAAATTATTCTTTGTATTGTTCATAGACATTCGAGTTTCTCTATGGATATATCACACATTGCTAACTCCTGGCAGTGCAAGTTGTATCATCTTCTTGATTGATTGGCAGGAGTTGTAAGGAGTATTATTCTAACCGCAGAATCTCATGCAGTTAGTTAAGTTGGTGTTGATACCAGCTCAGATTAGCTACCTTTTGCGCAGTACAAATGAAAAAATGATAGTCATTGATGTTATGATTGCCTATTTACCACTGAGTTAATGAACCATTCTGGTTATTTCACATGCCATGACATCGCATTTGGAAGCGATGATGCCTTTTGAGTTTTATCTGTTAACAGTTTCATTTAGATTTCATTGTTTAATTACCTTCAGGACAACAGCTAAGCATGTTAATTGTGCATAGGGTTTAAAGTAGTCCTTAAATGGGATTACTTCTGCAACCCATCCCATGTACAGATATTACCAAAAACAACAAAAATAAACTGATCTTTTTCCCCAGCAAAAATTGTTGTCTTTCATTGGGTTATTTCTGCTATTGTAACTCGTAAAGAACGTGCAGTGTTGAATGAAACTGAACTGAATACAGAACAGTAAACAGTGCAAAGACAGCACGGTTCAGGAGACTTCTAGCTGTACACACCATCCTCTGACCCACAGACTTCTGCAGCACTGCACATAACTTAGATAGGTGACAATGATTGGTACTTCAGTTGTGTGGAGGAAATTCCATCAAATCTAATTAAAACAAGTTAAATACAACTCAGTAAATAACTAAATTAAATGATAGTAAGGAGGACAGTGGTGCTATATAATTCATATTAGTGAAACATCGACGGTATGACAGTTTCAATACTGCTGAAGCAACGTTTACAACCAATTGCCAAAATCGATTCTTTATAATTGCCGTTTCGAGAACCTATATATCTGGCCTATATGCTCTGCATATACCATTTTTAGCTCATCTGACATAGTCAGATGCAGCTTGTAGAATCGCTCACCACTGACAAATCTATATACTTTGCATAGTGAACTTCCAAGCTGTTGTCACTTTTTTACACATACATAATGGAAAAGCCATACCATGAATGCATAATAATAATTGTAGGCGTCTCCAATGCTCTGTATTATTAATTTAGGCTCTTGTAATTTTATTATATACCTATATGATGACCCTCACCAAGCCAAAGACCAACAATATCACGTGTGGTTAACGGTTTCCGACCTGAACCCCCTAAACATCTTATGTCGTCCCATCTTCTTTAGTCAAAAAAATAAATAACAAGATCCATAAGAGAAATAATAGTGAATTCGGACACAGTTCGTGCGGTGCAAAGGCAGCAACGCGGCAGGGGCCTCGAAGTCGTCGGACATGGTTCGTAAAAATAAAATTATTTTCAAGAAATCAAAATGTTTTACCTACCTAACCCTACGCCTATTTTTTTTTTCGGCATTAACGGTAACATGCACACATACATTTCTGTTTTGCCTAACGTATACATAGAGACAACTCGCAAAACTGCAGGAGTATACAGATGTATACGTTGATTAATATATTATTATATCCTTATGTTGGATGCCATGACAAAAAAAGAGGAAAAGATTGATATCCTCTTAACGCATAGTACGGCAGGTTTTATTTTAACCAACCTCGTTTTTTTTTAAACCAGTGGCGCAACCTATCTTTTTCCGCCGTTCATCTAGATTCAATATATGCCACAATTAGATCCTCCTCTCCTCAGAACCAACATCTAATCATGTCCCCGCGGTTTGCTCGAAGTCCCCACCTCAAAGAAGTGGTTAGCGCTCTTCTTGGCGCCACCACACCCAGTTGGTGGTGTTCAGCTTGAATGCGCACAGGAAGTTGCTCACGGCTGCTCTACAGTTGGGACCAACGTAAACGAGCGCTCCGGTGGCACAACTCTCCCTCAATGCAGATGGAATGGGCCGCAACTTGCCAAAGTAGAGCTTCTCAATCACGCAGCATTGCGATTATTGTACCCGGCATTGTGTTAACCTTCTGCAAAGCCTCTTTGTAGACGAGATCGTCGTGACACCTCTTGTAGGTTAGATCAGGCCCCAGCAGACTGTACGGCTCACGCAAGCGCAGCATCTGCGATGGTAGCCTTGTTCAAGACGCACGAAGAACGCTATTGTTGATCTGAGCGCAGACGCAGCAGCTGCAAGCGTCTTCCTTACACGCGGTGGAAGCGCCATGCGCATCCGCGCGAAGTGGTTCCGCGCGATTACGATAAGCAACCTATTGTTGGGGCGCTGGTACATGAAAGTTGGCCTTTAAGGCGCGCTTGCGTGTCGTCAGACCTGATGAGCATCCTCTCTCTGCGGGTGCGATACTGGCCTTGACGTACTGCTCCAGCGCGCTTTGAAGTACTTGCTCGCCCACTCTCTTTGCCGTGTTTTCTTTCTCTTCATTCCCTGAAGCTTGTTGTCTGGAGGCGCTTGGGCCTTCAAGCTCGGGCTAACTGCTTCCGCTTCTTAGCGACTCGATCGGGTACCCTGCGGTAACTGTCTTCTTGTCTTGTGCTCGTCTCATGGTTTGGTGTCGAAAAAGTAAATAGCACATATTGTGCGCATAAGGCACACATTGCCACAAGGTCACCATAACCCAGTATGGTTAAACTTAAGTACAAATGAAACCCCCGACGGCTACACAACGCACAAGATGCACTTTTGGATGACGCAAATCGCGGCGGCGCATTTATGAAACAAGACACGACAGCACACGACCATGGTTTGATATTGAATAGAAACTGACTGTAAATAAACGGCAAACGAAGGTGTATACGAATGATGACACCGTGCGAATAGAACAACAAGTGACACTCCGCCGCCTATCTACAGCTTAATCGTCGACCGTAAATACGTACCACAGAAAAAACGCTCAACTTGCAGTTCCGTTCAAACACAGCACTGCTAATTACCTGACTTTAACAATTAAACCTCATCACAGTCCCAGCTTGCTACTTTAACCACTCATCACGCACCATCCTCTCTACACACTCCCTAGCGACGAAAACCAGTTTTCAGTAAAAAACTGTCGTATGAACACCGCCGGGCACCGTTTTTTTTTTTCCGGGCCTGACCTTTCGCACGCTGCCCTTATAATGGCCGCACCACTAAACCGACAGGATAAAAAAAAAAGAAAAAAAGAAGAGGAAAGGGCAGGGGAAAAACAAAAAAAAAAAGCGGGGGAAAAACAAAAAAAAGAAAGAAAAAAAAAAACCACACAAAAAAAACAGTGCAGGATACTAAAAAGGAAGATGGGGCGCGCATTCGGCGTGTGGCAATCGAATGCTGTCTTCTTAAACTGCGATATATAGCGCCGTCCTCGTACCCGATGGTAAGGGTTTATTATTTCAGTATACTTGAATCAACCAGAGGGCTGACAGTGTGTTAGGGCGAAAATGGGCACTAGAAGAAGTTTTCGTGTTAAAGCAGTTACCTATTAATAGCAGCAAATCTGGACCTTCAGAGCCGAGTTGACTCTATTTAGCCGAAGACTTTAGCAATGTCTCAATTTCACAACCGATTTGCCGTAGCCAGGGTTTTGAAAGATGTAAGGTTTTTTTTTTTTTTAAAAAAGTCAGTATTATTTCTTTAGAGTAGTAATACTAATAGTCACGCCGCGCGCGTACTCTTGGGCCAGTATTCCTCATAAGAATGGTACCCGCTATCAAAGGTGACAAAACGCTGTGTCACTGCACGCGCATTGCACAACGATTTATAGCTCAAAATTAAAGGCTAAAGGTCCCGCTAATATCAGCAATAGTAGGTAAAGTGGGAAAAGTGTTTGTTCTATGTACTTGCATCTGTCCTAGAACTGAATAAATCAGTGATGGTTATAGACTACGTTACTCAACCGTTAGTACGCGAGCCGGCAACGCAAGCACTACACCCACTATAGATAGACTGCGACCAGCTTATACGTGCCACTGCAACACACGTATAGCTATGTGGGATACCCTACGGCCCACAGCAGAGTGTTATCGCTAATCCTCCAATGCCCAAGCGAACATAAGTCTCACACCCTCCACACCAGAATCATTTAGCAGGTCGGACACTTCACTAGACGGCTCAATGCAAGACTACGCTCACGCACGCACTCGAAACTATGATACAACCACACTATGTCTAGCGCATTGGCACACACTTACGCTTTACAATACGCACTGAACTTGAATCATTTCATCTACGTGCGTGCACGCTATGAATGTCCGTGTAGCGGCACAAACATACCGAATATAGTCATTGTTAACGCTAATCGGTAAACTAATCTCAGCAGCAGCGCAAGCACACGACGCAGACATCCGCACAAAAAAATGGTCTGTCTTCATTGCACATTTGTCAACCAATGAAATCACTTCCGTTAACTTTATCGGCCGTGTCCAATGTTCAATATATCTTGGTCGCCATGTGCTAGTGGTCCCGGCTTTAAATTTTATATTATTCCGCGAGTGAATCTGAAACTTAACGCGAGGACAGTGCATTCTCATTGGCGCGATCGAAATGACATATGGGGCCAAACACATATAGCCGAGAACCTATCACCTATCTTTACTATAGCGGATGATAGTTAGATTGTAGCAATCGGAGAAAGAGGAAGAAATCGTTGATAACTGACAACAAGCTCGGGTGCACTCCTCTTGGCAGATGTCATTCAAGCACTAGAGATATACAAACAAGAAGGTCCATGATTACCGAATGAGAAAATTTTTTTAATGGCCTCGGATATACCTCCCTCCCACCGCCGCCACGTTGCACACCCGGTGATGGTCAGGCAGAGGTAAACACCACAGTCGGCGACGCTGGCAATTGCGCACCTATCCAAATCCCCCCCAACAGCATAAATGTTTGTCGTCGCAGAGACAATTTATCTCGAGAGTGAGTACTGACCACCACCGAATACAGATGACCCACGGCACAAACCTCTATGGAGATATACCGTCTTTTTGTGCGCAACCTTATCTAAACCAAATATCACCTACGTACACGGCCCACTCTGCCACGCGTCGGTCAGCAGCAGCCCACAGGCACTTGGAACGTTTTCAATATGGGTATCAAATAAAAAATATTGGTAAAGAAACCACGAATAGATTTATTACGCAAAGTCTTTAATGTTTCTCAGTCCTCTTCCGGCCACTGATTATTGCCTATTCAGTAAAGTACATTTCGTGTTTATTGTACCCATATTTCGTTTTATTGGAAACGTTTCAAGTGCATGTGAGCAGACAAGCAGTAGCGATCGTCTGTCGCGCGTGACGCTGCATTACCGTGCGCGCGAAAGCTTTTTATGTCTATTCGCCCATTCGTGTGCGTGCGAGCGCGAACAATAGACCGCGTGTTACGATGTGCGACTGACACGCACCTACGTCTTGTAGGTTGCGATTGACTCGTACCGCCCTCCGCGGCAATATTATGCATATTGCGTGCTCCCCCTTCCAGCTGGCACCTTGCTGCCCGCGCCATGTGTACGGCACCCGGCCGACA